GGCCTAGGTCATGTCTGCTTTTTCAACCTGCTGAGACTTTGACACCTACTGTGGAGGGTAACCCAGAGTAAGGACTCCAGAAATAACTGCTCTGTGGAAGAATGAATGGAAAAGGGAAGGAAGGAAGGAAGGAAGGAAGGAAGGAAGGAAGGAAGGAAGGAAGGAAGGAAGGAAAGAAGGAAGGAAGGATGGAAGGAAGGAAGAAAGATTTTATTATCAGGAATGCTGTCACCATTACTAAGAAGCTGGACTGAATGGGCACAGCCCTTTTCCCACTTCCCAGAAATATTTACTTCAGTTTTAAAAATTAAGACTTAAACGTCACAACTAGTAAGAATACATGAAACAACTACAGTGGAGCATTGGGTTGACCCACAACAATGCCTGGAAAACTGTATAAGGCCTGACACCCACCAAAGTGCATGAGGCAGGCAGCCGGCTTCGCTGGGGCATGCCACGCTCTGTACAACTGGGAAGCTCTTCCAGGAGAGGTCCCGGTAGTCATCTCCCCGCGGCTGAGGAGGTCACAGGGACCACGTGCGGGTGAGCATCGCTAACTCGTGTGCTCTTCTGAGCCCTCTGGTTGGCCTCTTTATAAAGTCCGCAAGAAAGACTGGCTTTGTTTTTGGTTTTACTGTAAAGCTATTTTGCTCTGAAAATCCTACAACCCAGTTTTCCTGTGGCATCTGTGGAACAGGCATCAGTTCCATGATCCCCACAAACACCAAATTCCATGGATGTTCAAGTTCCTTAAATAATGTGGTACAGTGTTTGCATATAACTCATATATGCTCACATATTTTAAATCACATTTTAGTATACTTCTGATGCCTAGTGCAATACAAATACCATATGAATAGCTGTTATGCTGTATTGCTTAGGGAAAAATAAGAAAAAGCCTGCCTATGTTCAGTACAGACCCAAACTTTTCCTAAATATTTTTAACCCACAGTTGGTCAAATTGAAGGATGGAGAATCAACAATACATTTGCCTTAAAATGAAGGCCATTAATTTGAAAGTAATACTGATAAATAGAAGACGAATGTTAAGTATGGGTGATTATACTTGGGATCATGTTGTTTAACTATTTGTGTTTAACAAAAAAAAATTATATTAACACTCTTGTTATACTCTGTTCAGGACATATAATATTGAACTGAAAAAAAATGATAATAGGGGATAGAGAAAATCGAAGATAAAATTGACCAAAAAGATACATAATTTTGCCCAGGCTTTAAAATAATATCCAAGTTTTCAAAACAGCTGTGATTTTTTTTTTTTAAAAAACAAAATCACAGCTAATGACAAGTGGGGAGTAGCAGGCATAGAGATGAATTTGAGATTGACACAGGGTCTGCCAGCTGCTGCCAAAGGACTTTGATGTTCAGTCCAGGCGCTAAGGTGGATCCTTAGAGGGATAAGAGGAAGGAGGAGAAGAGAAGAAGCCAGCGTAGGTACAGGCTGACCCCCAACCAGGCGGGGTGACAGTAAGGGGGCTTTTTTTTTTGTCTCATGTTTTCATTTATTACCCTTTTTTTTTTTAAAAACAAATCTTTACTTGAGAGACACTATGCCCCTGTCATGTTTTCTAGCTTTTCTCCTTGCCTTCTCTTCATTAACTAATCCTCAACTTCTTGCTTTCCTTTTTTTTCC